TTGTAGTGTTGGCATAGTCTTGTACAACAACTGTTAGCTTCATTGTGGAGCATAATACATGGAACTCCTTCAAATGCTTATTGGGATCTTTGTCTGGTAGTCCGTGGAATTTGGGTAAGAATCGAATGATGCCACACTTTAGTTCAAATCCATCAACTCCTTCCGACAGTTGAGGAAGTTGAATATAGATCGGTTAGTGAGATATATTTTATGCGACAAGCTCCTTCAAGGTTCTTTCTCGGTTAGCAACCATCTGGGATGTTTGATTAGACTTTTTAATTGTTTCTCTCTTTCTCTCTTGTAGCTCCCTCCACCTCTTTAATCTACTAAATCTCCTGAAAGTAACTCCAACTTCAGGATCAAATATATGTGGCTCACTTTTTCCTTTCTCCGATCGGGTCATGCACTAATGGACACGCTTAAGTATCAAGTCTTTTCTAACTAGAACTCTCCTAGACATACACTCTCATACTACCAAGTTATATCTAGAATTTCCTACAGTAGTGGTTAACGAGAATTTTCTGCGAGATTTGTTATCGAGAATTTCCTGCAAGAAAACTATATCTAAAATTTCATGTAAGAATGGTTAGGGAGCACACATAAACAAATTACAATAACTCTTTTTTTTTTACTTTTTTTAAATAAATCTAGAAAAAGAAAATTAGAAAAAAATGATATTAGACAATGTTACCCAACACAATTGTGTCCCTGACAATGACGTCATTTAATAACATTTTGGTCGCACAAAATACTAATAAAAAATAATAAACAAGTCTTTAAACTAATGCAGTATAACTAACCTGTGTCGAATCTCACAAGAACACACTTATAGGAACATACTCATTATCATATATCATTCTCTCTAAAACAACACATAATAGTAAATATGGGAATGAATGGAAGAGTAAAAAAGAAATAAATTGATGTAGAATAATAAACATTAAAATCAAATTGCTATAAAATATTTACGATAATTAAAATTAAACGAAACAGAATTTAAATAACTGAAATTTATAAAATTAAAATAAAGTGTTTTTAATTAAAAGTGCACGAATAAAAAAATACTTTAAAACAAAATAGTACAAGTAATTAAAATTAAATTGATGCAGAATTTAAATAACTAAAATTTATAAAATTAACATAAAGTATTTTTAATTAAAAGTACAAGAATAAAGAATTACTTTAAAATAAAATAGTGCAAGTAATTAAATTTAAAATTTCGAAAGCCACAACTCTAAAACTAAATTAAGAATTGGAATTGGAAAAGAGATAAATTGAAAATGAAAACTAAGACATATTGGATAAAAATTCTAAATAATTAAATAACAAAAATTAAAATAAGCACTTGAATGACTAAAATAAATAGAACAATATAAACTAGAAAATTCAATAGAAATTGTAAATTAAATAAAAGAGAACAAATCAAAAGTGCAAGTAGTAATAAATGAACTCGTCTAACTAAAAATTAAAGTAAAAGCTGAGCACAAAAAACAAAAAAAGAGAGGACGAGATTAAACAACAACTCTCACCCTAGGACTATGAGATTATGATTGTACTGTTATCATAAGACTTCTATTTATAGGATATTGAACAAGAGAAATTAAACCTAAAATTAATTATAATAAAATCAAATGTTTCCTAAATAAAAAATTGCAAAATCAGATTGTTGTGAAGAGAAATGTCTGGGACTGATTTGGAGAAAATAATATGTTTATTCCTATTTTGAGTGATCCAATTGATTTGCATTTAATTCTTGATTCCCGCTGGCCTTTAATTCCGCTAAATTGGATTCCCGCACAAGTTAATTTGATTGATTCAAAATTTTCATTTTTAATGTTCTACAAGTGGGCTGCACAAACAAACTTGATATTCCAAGAAGAGTGAAGCTTGACGACATCAATTTAGACATTTTATTCCATCAATTTGGCTCATTTCAAATTACCTCCTACAAAAGAAAAAAATGCAATATTAATGTATACATGTATATTATTTTTTTATACTAAAACTATGCAAAATGCAATAAATTAAGAAAAATTGAATTATGATATGTTTTTTTATGAAAACATGTTAAATGCATGGTTAATGAAAAAAATAATTAACTTAAAAAATACTCTTAGATCAAGAAAAAAATAGTAAAATAACATACATCAAAGGTTAATACAAGAAATTTTAAAAAATTAATCCATGAATTTCAATTAAAATTCTAAATTTATTCTTAACATCTTCATGCACTTATCCTCCTTCCCAAGTTGAAGAGAACTTGTCAAGATCAACGTTTTATTACCTACATACAAACATAAGTTGAAATTAAACTCAAAGTGAAAGAAATCTAAAATACAAAAAAAAAAAAATCTATTTAAATTGAGATTTCAATCTCATGAAAGATAAAAATCTGATTAAATAAGGTTGAGGATAAAAATGATCAAAGTTCATTAAAGAACGTTGACAAATCAATGATTGGAAAAAAAAAACGTAGTAAAAGAGACACCATAAAAAAAATAAGGAAAATACCAATTTGTCACTTCCCCTCAAACTCTACCTTCAAAAATTCCTAAATCCAATTTGTCAAATCTTCAAAATTATCTTGAACGATATATTGGTGGAGAAATTGTAAAAAGAATTTCACGTGAATGAAGGAAAATTGTAAAGAAGAATTGCTTTATGTTGTTTTTAGGTTGTTTTTTCTCAGGTAGGGTTCTTTGTCTAATAATTTTTGTTACGCTTGCTAAGAAGTGAGTCAACCCAAGAATATATTCTTGGGCAAAAAGTTTATAACCAAATTATGACCAAATTATGACAACCATTTTTAGGAACCTCTGTAAGGTTTAAGTTTAGTTGGAACCCATCAATCAAATATGATCCTCATTTGTCAATTTGAGTTCCAAGGACCTATTTATTGGATTCAATGTGGCTTATTTGTTGAATTGGTTCAATAAGAGTTGCTTAAATTTGACCCAAAACAACAATTGTGTGGGTGTAGGTGTGTCCTAGTTACGTGAGTATAAATCTGACTTAAAACAACAATTATTTAGGTCCACATATGACCTATGTGGGTGTAGATCTAGATTAATTATATAGTTGCAAATATGGCCTCAAACAACAATGATGTGGATGAAAATACGAAGCACAACCATCACATATAAAAATTGGTATCTCATATTGGTAGAATGTGTCTTTAATAGAAAGTGACTTCATTTACATTCTTTCTAAGCATCTTTTAGTACACTTGTGTTCCGTGGCATGTAACTACCTATTTTTGGTGTAAAACAAAAACTCACATCGATCGAAAAACATGTCTATGAGAATTAACTTTATGAGCAATGAGTAAAATGTGCATGGTCAAATAATTTTTTTATATGATATAAGGATTCATAAACATGTCTTAGTTCCTTTGCAACTTTTCCTAATGTTGTTAAGATATAAAGTGTTTGCATGGAATAATAAAAGATATACTCTTGATCACAAAAGGGTATAATAGTATAAAGTCTTGATTGATTTAATTGATTTCGATAATTCTTATTTAATGTTTATAGTCTTAATATATCTTAATCAAATATTAATTATCTCATTTATTATCATCAATATTTAATATACAATGTCCTTACAATGATAAATAACCCTTGTAAGACTTACTCTCTTTATGTTTGAATGACAAGGTCTTCTTTCTCTTTCACTTTTAAAGTGTTTTTTTTTATTATTATTCTCTTATAGACATAGTGTCAATGTATTTGCAAAGAATATTCCGACGTTCAAGTCAAGTAAGATAGAAATGATATAATAAATGTGTAATAATTTTGGATGATCACCTATCTATAGTATTATAATTGGTCTTGTGTGTTTATCCATTAAGGTGTCTAATTACTCTAATTAGCATAATTAGGTTAATTATTTTAAACATGTTCATAATACATTGTTTAAGGTTATTTGTAAACATCAGCATGCTTGTGTGGGTTGCTAGATTTGTCATACCAGCTTGTGTTCCATGTATTCGACACGAGGTTTCCATTATACCATTTGACAAAAGGATATAGCCTCTATCCTTTGCCTGATGTAAAATGCGTGGGGTCGTGTTTTCACAATCTTGGATTGTTGTCCACTTCATGGTTTTAGGATACATACAAGATTGGGTTAGGTAAGAGTAGTTAGGTCCTTCTCTTACCTGTTTGCAGTGTACCGAATCCGACTTACACGTCTTAAGATTCTCCTATAATTTTATGACATATACTAGCATTCTCTAATTTTAGTGCATGCATATGTTCTTCAATGTATTTCTTAAAACTATTTAAACTCTTTTATTAACTTAGCTAATAATGATCTTTCAATGTCTGTCATATTCCTTATTATTATCATGTGATCTTGAAAAGTATTATTTGGACTCATAGTGTCAAATGTTCTCACAAAGTCAAATAATCCTTACAAAACCTACTCTCCTAGTTCTTGAATGACAAGTCTTCTTTCTTTTCTCATATTCTCTTGTCAAAATGTGTCAATATGTCTATAGAAGATAACCTAAGGCTCAAGTCAAATGAGACATGAGAGATGTAATAAATTTATAATAATGAAGAATGCATATCTTAGATTAATCACCTAAACATAATATTCTAATAGACCTATACCTTATACTTGAGTGTTTATCCGTGAAAGTATCAACTTATTCTGATTATAATAATTGAGTTTATTATTTATTTTAACCATGTTCGTAACGTATTGTTTAAGGTTTTTGAAAATGTCATGTTTGTATGTCGAGATGTTCTTGATGCACGTATGGTACATAAGTGTAGTTTGATATATCTAGATTATCGGATACTAAAGTGTCAGGATCTAACACTGCTATCAAGACTTTAAAGTTTGTCTACGAGGATGATATATTGTAATGATATACAATTTAACTTTAAGGTAAGTGTACCTCGTCTTACAAATATTAGAAAACATGTGGCCCGCAGCAATTTTTCATGAAGACATTACGGCAAATGCTTCAAAGCCAAGTCGCAGTTACTCCATCACAGTTTGTTATTACACTTCATCACAGATGCACTCTTGGGCTTATCTTTTCGAATATGATCAATTCTTCCCACCACATCTTTTCCTCCAATCATATCGATGTCCATATCAACTGGCTCCGTGGAAGGTACTCTTTCAATAGCTTTATCAATTTTATTTTGGCGAAAGATTCCCCACAGGAAATGTCCGGCGTTTACTTCAGCAATAACACCTATGCACACTAGTTGATGTTAACAAATGTTGATTGACCCATGCAGGGTTTGGACAAACAAATTCAAGAAAACACAATTTTCAAAAGAAAAATTTAACATTTCGAACCTGAACTCTCCACTTTAATTTTGATTTCAAATATTCATGAATGGAAAGGAATTGTAGATAAGGGTGTTAAGAAAGTGGCAGAGTGGAGCTAATGAATGAAGCAGTCTACGTACCCCTTGAGTCCGTGTCAAGTTGATTTGAGGTAAATACTAGCAACTCCACTCCATCAATATAACTTCTTAGCATTGCTTTTTCGTCATTCATAAACTTCAATATGTTATCCAGGTTTTTTCTGAACCTATATTCAATTGAGAACATGAAGGATAAGAAGCTTAAACCACCCAACTGGCTGACACCAAAAAAGAAAAATGAAAGGTCAAGAAAATAAGAAGTAAATGACCTATCAGTGTCTTCTGATGGAAAGAAGTACAATGCAATATCCTGAAGGTTAGGAGAATCATCTGGGAATATGTCAGTCAAGACATTCAACGCAGGAAATGACTCCACTTGAAGGACTGATGGCATTTCTCTTGAAAATTTATATGCTTTCCTGTTAACAATGCATGGTGGTTGGGCCTCAAACCCATCAAAAGTTATGCTAGATTGAGCGGTTAGAAGAATTTGGATTTGACCCCTACAAAATGTTAAGCATGTTAAATTTCAGATGAGTAAAACTATAACGTTCACCCAACTAAATATTTGCATTTGCAAGTGTCATACTTGGAAATTCCTCAATTGTTGACACTTGTACATGGTACCCATAGCAATCTCTATTCTCATATAATGCTTTGGCAACAAAGATTGGATCCAAGAGACCATAATCAGAATTGCTTTTGTTTTGAGAATAAATAAGAATCTAGCCTATGCTCTACTGACAGAAGTTGTTTCTGGCAGCCATAAAGATTCAATTTTAAACAAAAAGGAAATAATAATAATATGTAAGTGTTCAATAATTTAGCTGCAGTCAAGAGGGCAGTGATTCAATAAGTCCACACCATGGAGCCTAACAGGGATTTGTTAGGATATTGTCTCGACAAGTATCATCACCACCACACCAGAACCATGCTATTATAGTGCAGCAATAGGTTCATAAGAAATAATAATTACCATTAAAAAAAGCCTTGTCATATTAAGTGAGGTTGCTTACATGAATCACGCAACATCTTTGAACTTAGAAAACAAATTTTTAAGGATAATTCATGACGAAATTGTATTTTATAATTTCCTAAATTCCTTCCTGTCTCCTATCTATTGTCATAGGTTTACAAAATCTTGGAACATGCGATTGCTTGTAGTTGTACCCCTAACATCGCAATATTTGTTATACAGAATGTGTTATTTACCACTGAAAAGAGAAAGAACAAAACTTGCTTCCCAAGCAGATATTCAAAAATAAGAGAAAAAGTCACAACACGAAAGCATATAGCTTCTATCCACCATGTACAAACAAGGTCATTTCTGAAACTGAAACTGAATCTGATTGAAAGAAGTCATTGTGAATAGTAAAAGATAAAATGGAAGGGAAATCTGATAGTTCCATTCTTATTGTAACTACCAATTGGAATTTAATGTGCATTAGGAAGGAAAAGCGATTTAAGGTAAACAATGACAAGGGAAGAAGGTACATACCTCCAAGCATGAATTGAGGAGGGTAAAAATTTACGATAAAGGTTTAAGTTTTTCTGATTACTCTGAGGGTCTTTTTCCATAATAAATTTACCATCATCGCTAGGTACAGAACCTAAGGAAGAGAGACAGAGAAAAAAAGAAGGAAAGGGAATAAACTAAGTTATCAAAGCTTCAGAATCCACGGGCTGCACGTAACTAATATGATCATACATATGCTAACATAATGTTTAGACATATGCTAACACAATAGTTCATCAAGTGGGAGAACCCCAGGACTTAAATACCATATCAAGTAATTTATCCTACTTAATATATTCCTAACACATACATAACACAGTCCTTATATTTGCATGTAGAGATGTTAGGACTTAAAGCAAATGCAACACAACAGTTAAAAGCATCAAACGTAACACAGAATTAAATCATCAAACATAACACAGAAAAGTATCCTGCTTGAACCAACAATAGAGGAAGATTTTCATGCTGATAAAGCTTCAAAAGGTGCGTTATTTGTGGGCTTTTCTTCCTGAGGATCATGAATTTAAACATTTTTATCAGCTATCATTCCACCAAAGGTTTGCTGATTTTCTCCTATACACTTCTGTGTTGGTACTACCAAAACCATTGTCTCATAAAAAAAAAAACACGAACATATCTCCGGGTAAACTTGCAAAGCAGAGAGACTCATTTCATTTTTTCTTCTGTTTTTCTCTTCAAAAAAAGTTTATGGAGAAACTGTCCAAACAGACCCTTAATGTATGAGAACTTTTATAACAATCCAGAGAAATTATTAACTTAAAGACTATTTCTCTTTAATTATATCATATAACCCAAGCAGTGAGTGTAAGAAATTTTGACTGGACAGGTATCAACATACACAAGTGCACATTTTAATTCCACCAAACCAGATTAAAACCAGGCGAATTGAGCACCCACTTAAAATTTTGTGCTTTCAAGAACGTGCATCATAAACTTTAAGAAGAATACACATCAGAAAAGATGGAGAGAAATTTCCACCTTGAAATAATGAGAATGAAGCATGTTGGTTAGTCATTGGTTTCTTGTGTACTTCATCATTTCTTGGTGGAAGCTTCCCATGTACTTTAGGAGGTGATATGGGAGGATTTGATTTTGGAGTCAGGGAGGGAATCTTGGAAATAAAATTTTTGGATCCAGAAGAAGCCTTCCAAGAAGAAAGTCTAATGACTTCATCCAAGTCAAGGTACTTCACTTTGCCCCTTTTGACAGATTGTTGTCTTTTAGAAGACATCGAACCAACATCCTGGCTCACTTTATGTGGTGAAGTTGAATCATGCTTGGATTGGCAAGTCTCACAGAGCCAGTCTTTAGGAATTATTGTGGTACTAATCTGAATGCAACGACTGAAATGGGATGGAAATAGCATTGGTTAAGAAACAAGGTTCTATGCTGCACTTATATTGCAAAGGCATAAATAAAAAACATTGGTCAAAAGCCAAAACCAATAATTTTTCAGGTCATAATGAAAATGTGTAAATTTTTCCTTTTTTTTTCAATCTTTCTTTAATCTTACTAATAATGCAAATAATATACTTACAGTTTTTAGGTTTTTAAGTTTCTTGGCAAAAGTATACTAATTACAAATTCAAATAGATAAAAAGACACATATACCACTTGTGTAATTTTGTTTGCATTAATAAGTGTGCTTTAATAAGACAATAAAGTAATTATGTTAAAAAAACAAGACTGAAAGAAAAAATTTAAGTAGAAAAAAGAGAATGGCCAATTGGAGATCATTACGCATGTCGATTTATGTTGCATTTAGAGCAAGTAACAATTCTTTCTATCAAACCACGAGCACCGCATATATCGCATCGGTCAACCTGCAAGTAATAATGAACACAAATATCTATTAGATTAAGCCCAAGGAAAGTCTTTCTCCATAAAAGTATTGTAATGGAAAAGCTAATTTGGTGAACTTTGCTTCAAGCAGGCATCCTATTTGAAGACATTGATTCGTTTTGGAGGAAACTTGATATCCAAGCAAAGAACGAGGCAAATTGTAATTCCCAAGTGAAGTGGGAGAGCTAAAGATAATGGTTAAGAAAGGTTATCATTTATGGAATCACAAGGTGATAAGCACTCAAGCACTTGGGAAACCCTCCCTTTAAAAGCTAGCTGTTAATGGGGAGAGAATCAAGCATTTAAGTACTTCATGCATCGACCTTCACAAACTACTCAAGCTGACACTTTATGCCACTTCATTTAGCCTTTATGGCCAGCCTTCAGCAGATATCCCTATTTGATAAAACAACTAGTTTTATACCAATTGATGAGCACTTGGAGAACCCTCCCTTAAAAGTTAAGAAGGGATAATCAAATACTTATTTGGGGGAGAATCAAGTAATATAATACTTCATCAAACATCCCATAGAACTCAATGTAGGACTTAGACTCCCCTTAATATCCAAGTCCTTATCGTACCACCGCCCCTATTTAGATTGTTCTTTTTGAGACACCAACAATAAAATTCGATACCAATTGATAAGCATCCAAACAGGGAGCCTCCCCTTAAATGTTGTTGAATATAGAAGAAATAGAGTTTGGGATTAATCTCCCTTGTGTATAAATCACACATAGGGTAGTCTATTTATAGTAGAGAGATACAACTAAAAGAGTAACTGAAAGTAACAGAATAAACAGAAGATATTGTTTGATATTATGGTTAATATCTAACAATATCTTAACAATATTAAATAATATCTAAACAATATCTAACACTCCCCCTCAAGCTGGAGCATACAAATCGTATGTGCCAAGCTTGTTACAAATATAATCAATTCTAGGACCCCGTAAAGATTTAGTAAAAATATCTGCTAACTGATCACTTGAGTTAACAAACTCAGTCTTGATGTCTCCAGACATAATCTTTTCTCGAATGAAATGACAGTCAATCTCAATGTGTTTGGTCCTCTCATGAAAGACAGGATTAGAACTAATATGAAGAGCAGCCTGATTGTCACACACAAGTGACATTTGAGTGACATCTCCAAATTGTAACTCTCTAAGCAATTGCTTGAGCCAAACAAGTTCACAAGCAGCTGAGGCCATAGCTCTATATTCTGCTTCTGCACTAGATCTTGCCACAACACTTTGTTTCTTACTTTTCCATGAGACCAAGTTACCGCCAATGGAGACACAATATCCAGATGTAGATCTTCTATCAGAAGGAGATCCTGCCCAATCAGCATCTGAGTAGCAAACAACTCTTGTATGGTTATTAGAATCATATAACAATCCTTTTCCAGGAGATCTTTTAATATACTTTAAGATACGAATGACTGCATTCCAATGATCTTCACATGGGGAATTAAGAAATTGGCTTACCACACTGACTGCAAAGGAAATGTCAGGACGAGTAACTGTAAGATAATTCAATTTTCCAACCAATCTTCTATACTGTTCAGGATCAGGTAAAAGCTCCCCCTGATTTGGTAAAAGTTTAGTATTGGGATCCATGGGCGTATCAACAGACTTTGAATTCATCAACCCAGTTTCCTCTAAAATATCCATGGCATACTTCCTCTGAGATATAACAATACCATCATTGGACTGTGCCACCTCAATACCCAAGAAATATCTAAGTTTGCCAAGATCTTTGGTCTGAAAATGGTGACAGAGATGTTGTTTCAACTGAGAGATGCCATGGTTGTCACTACCTGTAAGAACGATGTCATCAACATATACTATCAAGTAAACACATCCAGCACTTGAGTGTCGATAAAAGATAGAGTGATCTGCTTCACACCGAGTCATACCAAATTGTTGAACAACCTTGCTAAACTTTCCAAAACCAGGCCCTAGGAGACTGTTTTAGGCCATATAGGGATTTGCGAAGACGACATACCATCCCAGAAGACTCCCCCTGAGCAACAAACCCAGGAGGTTGCTCCATATAGATTTCTTCTTGCAAATCACCATTGAGGAAAGCATTTTTAACATCTAGTTGATAAAGAGGTCATTGTTGAAGAGCGGCCATGGCGATAAATAAACGAACAGAAGTCATCTTTGCCACAGGGGAAAAGGTATCTCCATAATCCAAACCAAAAATTTGAGTATAACCTTTGGCCACAAGACGTGCTTTGAGGCGATCAATAGTACCATCAGGTCCAACTTTGATAGCAAACACCCACCTGCAACCAACAACAGATTTCCCAGACGGTAACGAGACCAAATCCCAAGTTCCACTATTATGAAGAGCACTTAGTTCATCTAACATGGCCTGACGCCAACCAGGATGGGCTAAAGCTTCACGGACAGTTTTTGGAATGGTCACGAGAAGAAAGAGAGGAAAGACATGTATAAAAAGGTAATGACGATCGATGATAACTCAAACCAATATAATGAGGAGAGGGATTACGTGTAGAACGGATACCTTTTCGGAGGGCAATGGGAAGGTCGGACTCGGGTGTCACATTCGGAGGAGACGAGTAGTTGGCACTTGAGTAGAGTCACATGGTGGTGGTTGTGATTGGTTTCGGCAACTATAAACCTGAAGAGGTAGTGAAGAAGAAGTTGATCACGGAGTAGAATCTAATGGTGAAGAAGACACAATTAGAGGGTCACAAACAACGGGAACATTAAATGTACTAGGAGTGTTGACAATATTGGATGGAGACGGAGGTGAAGATTGACTTTTAAAATAAAAAGAGAACTCATCAAAGGTGACATCTGCAGACACAAAATAACGGTTAAGAGAAGGAGAAAAACATTTGTATCCTTTTTGTGATCTTGTAAACCCTAAGAAAACACATTTATGTGATCTAGGAGAAAGCTTGTCAAGACTAGAACTAAAATTATGAACAAAACATGTAGACCAGAAAACTTTTAGAGGTAAGGGATGAAGTGGTTCATGAGGGAATAAAATGGAATGAGGTATTTTATTATCTAGAACCGAAGATGGCATGCGATTAACAAGATAACATGCAGTAAGAAGAGCATCACCCCAAAAATGCTGAGGAACCTCTCCATGAATTAAAAGAGTGCGAGTTGTTTCAATAAGATGTCTATTTTTACGTTCAGCTACACCATTTTGTTGAGGTGTATAAGCACAAGAAGTTTGATGCAAAATACCATGAGAAGCCATGAATTGTTTAAAAGAATGAGAAAGATATTCACGACCATTATCACTGCGCAAAACTCTAATAGAAACACCGAACTGAGTTTGAATTTCATTGAAAAAAGTTTGAAAGATATGAAATAATTCAGAACGATTTTTCATCAAAAATAACCAAGTACATCTGGAATAATCATCAATGAAAGTAACAAAGTATTGAAAACCTAAAGTAGACTTAACGCGGCTAGGTCCCCAAATGTCAGAGTGAACCACGGCAAAAGGGGACGAAGCACCACGTGTGACACTACGAGGAAAGGAAGTACGAATATGCTTGCCTAATTGACACGACTCACATGCCAAACTAGACAATTTAGATAAGGCAGGGACAAGTTGCTGTAACTTGGCAAGACTTGGATGACCTAATCTGAGCATGGAGAAGAGAGGAGACTCTATAACTGCACCAACATGTGTAAAGGGACGAAGATGATAAAGACCATGAGACTCACATCCTGTGCCAATCACACTGTTTCGAACTCCGGTCCTGTAAACACACGAATTGTTGGTAAAAGAAACAACACAATCAAGAGAACGAGTTAGACGAGCTGATGGATAACAGGTTAAAAGGAGACCCAGGGACATAAAGAACATTATCAATGGTTAAAGAAGGGAAAAGTTTAACAGTTCCAACACCATGAGATGATACTCTAGAGCCATCGACTAGTGTAACAAAAGGTAAAGGATCAGGGAGAGGATAAAGAGGAGAACAAAGATTTGTTACCGAGTAATATGATCAGTGGCTCCTGAATCAAAAACCCAAGGACCGGAAGAAGATTGGGTCGGACCAGACAAAAGATGTACCTGTGTGTGCGACAGACACAGTAGAACTAGAAGACTGTTGATCCTTATACCATTTGAGAAATTTGTTGAACATAGCAGGTGTGTCTGATGAAATAGAAGAAGGAGGATCCTTAGCGGATAAAGGTGGGAAAAAATCGGTCTGAGCAATTGCGGTAGATCGAGTAGGACGACCATGTAATGCATAACACTTGTCAATCTTGTGACCTAGTTTGCCACAATGTTCACACTCATGTAATGCATAACACTGGTCAATCTTGTGACCTAGCTTGCCACAATGTTCACACTTAGGACGTCCTTTTCCCTGTTTGCGAGGGCGAGTTCGATCATCACGGTGAGATACCAATGCGAGAAGAATCATTAACGAAGCGGGTGTGTCGGGGTTGAGTTTTGTCTGGTATACGCAAAAGAGTGGAGCGAGTCGATGTCAAGGTGGGGACAACAGGAGAACCCAA